GAGGGAAGAGGGGAGGAGAGAGAGAGAGAAGAGGGAAGAGGAAGGAGGGAGGAGAAGGGAAGGGAGGGAGGGGGAGGAGGAGAGAGGAGGAGAGAGAAGAGGGAGGAGGGAAGGAGAGAGAGAGAGAGGAGAGAGAGAGGAGAGAGAAGAGAAGAGAGAGAGAGAGAGAGGGGGGAGGAGGATGGGTGAGGGAGATAGGGAAGAGGGAGAGAGGGAAAAGAGAGGGAGGAAGGGGAAAGAGAGGGGAGAGGAGGAAGAGGGGAGAGAACGGAGAGAAAGGGAAAGAGAGGAGAGAGAGGGAGAGAGGGAGGGGTGGAAGGGAAAAGAGGAAGGGAGAGAGGAAGAAGAGAGAGAGAGAGAGAGGAGAGAGAGAGAGAGAGAAGAGAAGAAGGAGAGAGAGGAGAGAAGAGAGGAGGAGAGAGAAGAGAGAGAGAGAGAAAGATAAGAGGGAAAAACTTGGGAAGAGAGAGGGAGGGGGCAAAGGGAGATGAGGCCGAGAAGTGAGGGGGAGAGTGAGGAAAGAAGTTGTGAGGGGAAGGAGGAGGGAGGGCCAGAAAAGTGAGGGAGAGGTATGAGGGAGAGAGACAGGAGGGGTGAGGGGAAGAGAGGGGTCGGAGAGGAAGTTGAGGAAGAGAGTAAAGGGGAAGTGAGGGAAGGGGCGCGCGCAGAGGTGAGGCAAGAGGAGGGGTTAAGGGATTAAAAGGATATACGAATCTCCCCCTCTCCGATGACGAAAAAAACTGCTGCATTTTTTCACCCTCTCTCTACCCCTTGCTTATTTTTTCAGGTCTCCCTTTTGGGGTCGTGTTCTTTTATATGGTCTGCATTTATGTATGTTTTTTCCCCTCTCGTCTCTCTTTCTGTGTCTTTCTCTTTTGTCTGTTTGTCTGTTTGTTTGTCCTGTCTCCCTCTGTCTGAATGGTTGTCTATTCTTTCTTTTTTTCTTTCTCTCTCTCTTCTCGGTTCCTCTTTTTCTCTTCTCCTTTGTGCTCTCTCTCTCTGCTCTCTCTCTTCTTCTCTCTCTTCTCTTCTCTCTCTCTCTCTCTCTCTCTCTCGATNGATAAATAATAACCGATAATAATAATAATAGTAATATAATAATAATATAGTAATAATAATAAATAAATATAATAATAGTATAAAATAACAATAAAATAATAATGGATAATAATAATATAACCAATAACAACAATAGATATATAATGATAATATAGAGAGAAGAAGATATATACACTACAATGATAATAATAACAACAAGAACCCAAATCACCAATATCACTAAAAATATAATCATAAAAACCACAAAATCGAGGAAAAAAAGTAAAAAAAAAAAACATCCGCTTCAAATCTTATTTACAACCACGGTGCGGCAGCGCAACGAGAGACGGAAAGACGCTCTCTGCGACAGTGTTCAACTATTCGATGGCCGTAAAAATGTCAACGAGAGGAGAGAGAGAGAGAAGAGAAGAAGAGAAGGAGGGATGAGAAAGAGAGGAGGGGGGGAAGGGGGGGGGAAAGGAGGGAGGGAGGGAGGAGGGAGGAGAGGAGGAAGGAGGGTCGAGGGGAGATGAAGGGGGAGAGGGAGGGAGGGAGGGAGGGAGAAAGGGGGGGAGGGAGGGGGAGAGAAGAGAGGAGAGAGAGAGAGAGAGAAGAGAGAGAGAGATGAGAGAGAGGAGAAGAGGGAGGGAGGGGGAGGGAGGGGAGGGAGGGAGAGAAAATAGAGTAGATTAGAGAGAAGAGAGAAGACGAGAGAGAGAGAGAGAGGAGAGGAGGGAGGGAGGGAGGGAGGGAAGGGAGAGGTGAGAGAGAAGAGAGAGAAGAGAAGAAGGAGAGAGAGAGAGAGAGAGAGAGAGAGAGAGAGAGAGAGAGAGAGAGAGAGAGAAGAGAAGAGAGAAATAACGAGGAGAGGGGGATATGGGAGAACAAGAGAGAGAGGGAGAGAGACACAAGAGACAGAGAAAAACGGAGGGAGAGATAGTATAGATAGTTAGAGAGAGAGACAGAGAGAGAGTCAGAACAGGAGAGAATGAAAAGCCAGAAGAGAAAGAAGAGAGAGAAGAGAAGTTAAGAAGAGAGAGAGAAGAACAGAGATTAGAGACAGAGATAGACAGATAGACAGAGAGAAAGAGAGAGAAAGAACAGAGAGAGGAGAGAGAAAGAAGAGACAGAGATAGGACAGACAGATAGACCAGGAATAGAGAGAAGAGAGAGAGAGAGAAGAGAGTCAGACAGAGAGATGAAAGCCAGGAGAAAGAGTCAGAGGAGCCAGTCAGACAGAAAGAGAGAAGGACAGAGATAGACAAATAGACAGAATACGACAGATAGAGAGAGAAGAGAGGTCGGACAACAGAGAAAGAGTCAGAGAAGTCAGTCAGACAGAGAGAGAGAAAGACAGAAGATCAGAGACAGAGAATAGAAGACGAGATAGATCAAGAGAAGAAGAGAAAGAGAGAGAAGAGAGAGAGAGAGAGAAAACTGAGGTCATCCAGGAGCCGGCACGATGCTCTCCGCACAGCGTCGCTATTCGATGCGTAAAATGGAACAAGGAATGGTCCAGGTTTATCTCAGCGCTGTTTATTACATCCTGGAGCCTCACACTTGGACGCCGGTACCAAGACATTCGTGAGGGGAGGGAGGGGAAGAGAAGGAGGGAAGGGAAAGGGAGGGGGGATGGAGAGGGGTGGGAGGGGAGGCGCAGGGGGGAGAGGATGGGAGGAGGCGGAAAGGAGGTGGGATGGAGGGAGGGGAGGGAAGGGGAAAGGAGGAGAGGGAGGGGGGGAAGGGGGGAGGGAGGGGTGGGAGGGGGATGGAAGGGAGGAGGGAAGGAATGGGAGGGAGAAGGGGGAGAGGAGGAGTGGGAGGGAGGGGAAGGGGGAGGGGGGAGATGGGGGAGAAAGAGGTTAGGGAAGGAAAGAGGAGGGAGGGAAGATGAGGAGAGAGAGGTAGGGAAGGAAAGAGGGTGGTGAGGGAGATGAGGAGAGAGAGGTAGGGAAGGAAAGAGGGCGATGAGGGGGGAGGGAGAGGAAAGAAGGAGAGATATGGCAGGAGAAGGGAGATGGAGGGAGGGAAAGGGGGAGAAAAGGGGGATCTGAAGCTGTTGTCGTGTTTGCCCCTTTAACATTTCTACATTCTGTCAATTTAAAAGTTAGGGAAAATTCCCCATTACTTACTCTACTATCATTATATATTGCTTTCAATATCATTATCATTAGTTCCATTGTTATTTATTACTTTTAATTATCATTATTATTATTACTTGAATTATGGATTTCACCATTATCATTAAATTATCGATCATCATCAGTCTTATCATTATGACCATGGCTTTTGACATTTGTATGCTTTCTCATTTAAAGTTCTTTTGCCACAAGCACAAGTGGGTTATTTGTTTCTTGTTATATATATATATATATATATATATATATATATATATATATATATACTTATATATATATATAATATATATATATATATATATATATAATATATATATATATAGTATATATATATATATATATATATATATAATGATATATATATTCTAACATTTCAACTACTCTATTCACATTCTTAGTTAAGTGTCTGGAAGGGTTCTTATCAGTTTTCTTGAAAGATATAACTTCCCCTCTTCACCAGATCTAGATATTTCCCTTATACCCTTCCATGATAAGCAAGTTCTCTTCTATATCCGTTCTTTCGCTCTGCCTTATCCTTTCCCTTATTCTTTCCAGTTTCATGTCTCTATGCCGCCTGTTCTTCCACTCGACTTGATCACATAACCGATAATTCACATCCAAGTTTTACCTGATTTTTATCAACCTGCAAAAATTACCAGAAGTTCTATGGCCCTCAATTTAAAGATATTTGATTGTAAGTCGGTCGTCTTACAAGTCAGTTTTTCTAAATGCTTTTTTTAAATGCTATTTGTAGACCTTTGGAATAGATTGCCTTTCAGAGATTGTAAATTCTCCGACACTTGATGAGTTTAAAAGATCAGCTAACATGTTTTTTTTCTTATTTAAATTTTTTTTTACGGTTTCTTTTCTTTTTTATTCGTTCTTTTTAGCTGTGTCCTTGACCTGCACTGACACCTTTGGTCTTATAAATCTCGACTTTTTTGTAATTCTTTATGCTATAATAATAATAATAATAATAAAAAAAAATAATAATATTTAATAATAATAATAATAATAATTAATAATAATATAATAATAATAATAATAATAATAATAATAATAAAAATAATAATAATAATATAATAATAATAATAAAAAATAATTGATAAAAAAAAATGATAAAGATAATAATGTGGTTCAAAGAGCCTCTGTATCTTAGTTGCTCAAACAGACTTTGTTTGTATTCTTGTGAAAACATTCCACTTTAGCCTTCTGAGTAACTACAATAGGTTTAATTTAGCTTAATTCCATTTGCTACAACAGATATTCTTATTGCTGTGACATAACTGTATCTTTATTTGCTTCAAAGACACTCCCAGCGTGCAGAGGAATGGCCGGGGTTACCATCCACTGGCAGCGCGCGGGATCGAACTCCGACCAGTAAGATTGCTAGACGAGATCGCTACCGTTGTCACACACTGACTCCTTTATTACACTTTTATTATAGCATTCTTGCGCTGCTTGTACAGGTACCAGCTGTACAAGGGACCTTCACGTATTGGTTCATTTCCAGTACGTCGTCTTATTATTACTATTATTTCTTTATTACTTTTATTATAATTGCTATTATTGTTATTATTATCATTATTATCGTTGTTGTTTGTTTGTTATTAATTATTATATTATTATTATTATTATTATTAATTATTATTATTTCATTATTATTATTATTATTGTTATCAATTATTATTACTATTATTATTAATTATTACTATTATTATTATTATTAACTAATATTATTATTATATTAATTAGTAAGAGTAGTATTATCATTATTATTGTCACCATTGCCTACTTATCATCATACCGTTAATCATTATCATTATTAACGTTATTATTATCATTATTATTCGCATTATTGTTATTATTGATATTATCAAACTAGTAACTAATGTTATTATTCATTATTAAGGCATTATTATTATTCTAGTAGTAGTAAGTAATATCAACAGTATTGGTAATTATCATTATCATTACTATCATTACGTCATTATTTTCCAAACTATTGTTTGGTTAAATCACCATTATTTTGTTTATTAAATCTACAATAGTTTATCATTTCATTATCATCATCATTATAATCCATGCGTCATCATTTATCACTGTCATTGTGATCATTATTGCTATTAAAGTCTCTGTTATTATTACCATTCTCTTCTCTCTCTCTCCTCTCTCTCTCTCTCTCTCTCTCTCTTTCTCGTTCGTCTCTCTCTCCTCTCTCTTTCTCTCCTACATACCATAACATATATATATATATATATATTTATATATATATATATATATATATATATATATATATTATAATGTATTATATATATATATATATATTTATTATATATATATATATATATATATATATATATATACATATACATACATACTGCACAAAATACATACGACACCACACATAAACACACACACACACACCACATCACACAACACGCACACACACCAACATACATATATATATATTATATATAAATATATATATTATATATATATATATATATATATATATTATATATATATGTATGGTAATATTATAATAATTAGTATTATATATATATAATATATATATATTATATATATATATATTATATATATATGATATTTAATATGTATATATATTATATACATAATATATATATATAATTATATTATATATATATATATATATATATATTTATATATGAATATATATAAATAATTTATAAATATATGTAAATATATAATACATATATTATATATATATGGTATAACGATGGGTGTGTGAGATAGAGGGATGCTACACATATATCTATAATCGAGAGCACTACATGTGAGTATATATATAATATATACTATATAGAAAGGGTGAGAGGAATATACGCCGAGCGTACATTGCATGAGGAAAGACTATCGATTCACGTATCTGCGTCTCTATTAATACTATAATAATACGGTGCATGGCATGAGTGCGCCGGATTATATATATATATATAAATATGTACTAGTTTATTATATATATATATACACTATATATATGCGATTACAGTCTTATATATATATATATATAAAATAATATTATATAGCTTATGAGCGTAAAAAATATACTAACGTTCAGGTCTATATATATATATATAACGTATATATTATATTATATATATATATATAATATAGTTATTATATTATATATATTATATATATATATATATATATATATATGAATATAATGATCTATATAATATCATAGCTAGACACATTATTGTTTTTATTACGCAGCTGCGCAGGAGCGAGATAAAAGTCTCTGTTTATTATTACTCATTCTATTCTTTCTCCCCTCTCCTGTCTCTCTCTCCTCTATGCTATCTCATCTCCCTCTCTACATACACTGCATATATATAATATAAGATACGTAAGTAATTACGTATATATATATATATGATATTATAATATTAATATATAATGATGAGTAAAGTTATGTACTAGTTACGAATCATGAGAGTTATTCGAATAATTTAATAATATATATATATATATTATATATATCATACCTATATATTATATTATATCAATATATATGTAAAATTTGGCTAATAGTGTGTGTGGTGTGTGTGTGTTGGTGTGTGTGTGGTGTGTGTGTGTGTGTGTGTGTGTTGTGTGTATAAAGATGAGAGAGAGAGAAGAGAGAGAAGAGAGAGAGAGAGAGACGAGAGAAGAGAAGAGAGAGAGAGAGAGAGAGAGAGAGAGAGAGAGGAAGTATCATGAGAGCGGTAGCTGAGAAGGTAATGAGGCGAGAGAGAATGACAAGACACAAAGAAGGAGAGATAAAGCACTAGGTATGAAATAACCAAACACTAAACGCGTCCTTCACACGGAAAAAGCACAAACATATACTCCAACAAACCCAAAACAAAACCCACACACGCAGTTAAACAAACACACAAACATTTACATAACACGCACACACGCAAAAAAAAAAAAAAAAAAAAAAAAAAAAAACAAAAAAAGACAAAGATCACAAAACACACGTACAGTCCCACACGTAATCGAATCCACCTCCTCCTCTCTCTCTCTTTTTTATTTTATTTCTTTTTCTCTTTTTCCGAGAGAGAGGCAATAACACGCGATGTGTCCGGATACACGAGCACTTGTCCATCCTAAAACGAGCATTAAAATCAGCTGTCTCATCTGGTAACTGAACCCTCTGAGCCCCTCCCCGCCTCCGCTGTGCTTCTCCCCACCCCTTCCCCTCTTCCTCCCCTCCTCTTCCCTTTTTCCCCTTCCCCTTTCGCTTCTCCTTCTCTTCCCTTTCATTCTCTCCCTTCTCCTCCTTCTTCCCTTCTCTTCCCTTCCCTTCCCTTTTCCTTCTTCTTCCCTTCCTCCTTCTTCCCTTTCCCTTCTCTTCCTCTTTCCTTCCCCTCTTCTCCTCCCTGCTCTTCCCTTGCCCTCTCACCCTCCCTCTTC